ACAAGTGCCTGTATTCTAATAACATAAGGTTCGAAGCAGCAATAGGAGAACTGGAGAACTTGGTTCTAAATGACCATTTAGATATAGTGGGTGTTTAAGAAACCTGGTGGAATGGGGTATCCCTGGGTACATACTCTACAGATGGGACACCAAGGGATGTGTTGGAGGTGATGTTGCTCTATATTATCAGAGTGCACAGGGTTAAATATGCTAGAAAACATTAGGGGCATAAAGTTCCTCACTGAATCACTATAGGTGGACATATGGGCCCTAAGGGTTACTTTAAAAGTAGGAGTATACTATCACTCCTTGATCCCCTCTCATGGTTTTGGAGAGAATCTTGAGATGGAGAGAAAAATACAGTATGTGACTAAACTGGAAAAGGTTGTAATACTGGGTGAATTCATGTGCCTTCATATTGGGTAAATATTTGTTCGTCTTGTAGAAAATGTCACACCAATGTTTAAAAGAGGTTTTAGAGGGCATCCAAGAAATTACAGGTCAGTTAACATATATTTCAGAAAAATTAGCATAGTTATTAAAGACAGAATTATTAACCAAATTGAGGAATACATCCTGCCAAGGGAAAATCAGCGTGGGTACTGTAAAAAGAAATCCTGCCTTACCAACCTTTTGGAATGACTCCATTTGAACTAAGAGAGAACCTGGCCACTGGAGGTCAGCCAGTTGGAGCTAGAGAGCCAGCAGTTCAGGGAAACTGATCCCAAAGGCTAGAGCTTAAGAAGCATAGTTATTAAAGACAGAATTATTAACCAAATTGAGGAATACATCCTGCCAAGGGAAAATCAGCGTGGGTACTGTAAAAAGAAATCCTGCCTTACCAACCTTTTGGAATTCTTTGAGCAGTTAACAAGTGTATGGATAAGGGTGATCCGGTACACATTATATACTTCCATAAGGCTTTTGACAAGGTACAACAACAAAGACTCCTGAGTAAGCTAAGCAGTTATGAGCAAAGAGGGCAAGTCTTTTTATGGATTAAAACGGATTAAATGACTGGAAACAGAGTAGGGATAAATGGACGGTTGTTGTAATGGTGGCCCTGATGAGGTGTAAATTGTGTTAAATAAATAAGAATGTGAGCGGGGGGGGGGTCCCACAAAGACTGTTATTGGGACTGATGTTGTTTATAAATTATTGGAATTGGGGGCTAGTGGTGTAGTAGCCAAATTTGCAAATGATCCCAAAGTATTCAGAACAGTGTAAAACAAGATTGTGGGAAGTTAGATCGCTCTAAATCTCTCTAAGCAATGTGGCAAATGAAATCCAGTAAATTAAGTAAAGCTGATACACACTGGAACCAAAAAACTGTTAATTTCAAATATATGCTGAGGGAGTCTGAATAGGGTTGCCAGGTCCATTTTTGTCCCCAGCGGGGGATTTTGGGGGGGCGTTCCCAAAGGGGATGTCCCGGCTCCAAGCCCCACCTCCGTGGGATATCTCGCTGGCTGCATTCACTTATAGGGACTCCTTTAAGTGCCTGCAGCTGGAGGACCCCCCTGCCTGATCTCTGAGTGGCACTTATGCTTGGAGATTGGGCGTGTGGGGCCCTGTCCCACTGGCTGCATGCACTTATAGGGACTCCTTTAATTACCCGCAGCCTGAGGGCCCCCCTGCCCGACCTCTGAGTGGCACTTTTGCTCAGAGATTGGGCACATGGGGCCATGTCCCACTGGCTGCATGCACTTAAAGGGACTCCTTTAAGTGGGATGTTCTCGCTGGCTCTGTGCACTTAAAGCGACCCCTTTAAGTGCCTGCAGCCGGAGGACCCCCTGCCCGATCTCTGAGTGGCACTTTTGCTTGGAGATTGGGCGCGTGGGGCCCTGAATCTCCGAGTGGCAATGCTGCTTGGCGTTCGGGCACGTGGCCCACAGCCACCCCTCTCCCTCCTCTCTCTGAAGAGAGAAGGAAGGGGTGGCTACCGGTGTTGGGGCTTGGGGGTGGGGCTTCCCCCACTGGCTAGGTGGTGGGTAGAACCCCCCAAAGAGTGGGTAACCCCCACCAAACTGGGGGTTCTGGCAACCCTAAGTCTGAATTGACTGAAATTGAAAGAGATCTTGGGGTTCTAGTAGAAGATTGATTAAAATGTTTTCTTTGTGTTGCAGTAGTGAAAAAGGCAAAGTCTATGCTGAGAATAATTAGGAAAGGGACTGAAAATAAAACAGCCAATATTATAATGTTTCTATATAGATCTACAGTGTGGCTTCTGGTTGCTTTATCTCGAAAAGAATATTGCAGAGTTGGAAAAAGTCTAGAAGAGGGAAACCAAGATGACTGATGGACTGGAGCACCTTTCCTAATAGGAAAGGCTGAATTGTTGGAGACTTCTCAGTGTAGAAAAAAAGACAGGGCATGGTAGAGGTTTATAAAATTATGCTTGAGGTGGAGGAAATACAAAGAACTTTTCTTCCTCATCCATAATACTAGAACGTGGTGATGCCCAATGAGGTTGATGGGCAATAGATTCAGGACAGACAAAAGGAAATAGTTCTTTACTCAATAAGTAATTAAACTGTGGAATCCACGGTTGCTAGAGGTAGTTAGAGGTACAGGTCAGGGGAAATGAGGATTAGACAGATTCATGGTGGATAGATCTAGCAATGGCTACTCACTATGGCTAGTGTATTCAGAAAAGGCAGCTAACCTCTTATCAGGGGAAGGCCTTAGACTCTGTGCCATATTTGTTGTTCCTCTGGGGTAACTGACTGGCTGATGTGAACCAGTACGCTGGACAAGATGGACCACAGGTCTGATCTAATAGGGCTCCTGTTATGAAAAAGTATCTTTAGCTTTGAAACTTTTATACTGTGTTTTATTAGTGTGAATCCTCTAATACCATTACGTAATGATCCAATTTAGACAAAAGTGAAAGAATAACCCCTACCTATACTGCCACTAGCTTCAGAGTCAGAATGAAGCCAAACTGCATAGAGCAGATGGGAAGAAACTAAATCATGACCACCAGCCAATTTATGGTACATGACCTAGTGCTTGCTGGGATTATTCTGTACCACTCAGATAGGTAAATGATTCTTTGTTCACATTGTCTGCATTTTGACACTGAAAAGCGATTCGTTTCTGAAAAGGTGGTCCCAGGAGCTCATGTCTTATTGTAAAATAAGTGGTGAATTCCCTGAGGGTTGAACCTATGCAGAAGGAAACCTGTAACGGCAAACTGAGTATGTAATCAGAGAAATAGGTTTAATAGGCAAGATTTATATCTGCTACATTAGGTCTGCACGAATTTGCACTATATTTAGAAGGCCACAATAGACTCTTTTGTAACCTATACTCTGATATAATAAATGTTTAATATACATATAGTAGAAAAAGGAAGAGATAGCATTTTCCTCTTATACCTCCTTATAATATTCATACACTTTTACAATATCATTATAAAATGAAGCAATTATTGAAACTGTGACATTCCACATTCACAGTAAGTTGCCCATTGTATTATTCTTTTTCATCTGGAAGGAAGAAAAGCTGGAAATAATGTGTACTTTATGTGAAACATGGAATATAATGTTAACACATATGGATAAAATTAGCAATTGATATAAGAGTGTGCTAATTTCAGTGTTGCATAATGTATATTTTTTTAAAAAAACATGCAAAGCAAGAGTGCACAATCAGCATCTCTCAATAGTAAAGGCATAACTAATCGGCATTAAATAACTCTGAGTATTCCTGTTTAAGAATATAAAAAATGCCTTGCAATATCAGGCCAAACTGACCTAGTTCAGCATTCTTTATTAGAATCAAAGCAACTATCAGGTACTACACAGTCCACCAGAGACTGGCCACACACCCACCAATGGACTAAGAGATACCATTCATCCGCCCTTTTTATGTCGTTATGCTCCTAGTTAAGCTTGAACATACCTTGCAAATCCATTTGAAATAATGGAAAAGATGTGTTTTCAACATAGCTAAAACAGTCCTGTTAATATCACAAACAATGTACTAGGCAGGCATTGGTCTGTATCCTGCAGCAAGAACCTATATGCAAAAACAGGTTTTGTGCACAGTATGAATGCAAAAGCCAGTTGTGGACAGTAAGAGGCAAATGCAGACTCCACAGTCTCCCTTTATGCCTGGATCTATATATCAAGTCCTGAATCAGCTGCCTTCATGAAGATAAGCACTTCATCTTAATAGTATATCAGTTACTGCTAGACAGTAAAACATTATTATAAGCTTTTATTGGATCAATTGTGTTAGCAAGCTTTTAAAGTTGCACAGAACTCATTACAGGCAGCAGGAAGAATTCTAAATGTCTTGCTCCCCTCCAAACACATTATTTTATCAGCTGTATCATCTGAACAGTTTTGTACCCTCTGACTGGCAACCAATCTCCAAACAGAGGAAATCACTTATCTAATTTTAAACTTGGACTCATGGGGAACATTCCTGAGAAAGTCACAACAAGGTGGCCTTCAATACATAATAATGACACACACAGGAAATGCACCATTATTTATACATGTGACGCGCTGCAAATTGCTTCCATCATCAGAATTAATTGTAGTGATTATTAATGCAATGTTATGAACTGTCAGGACTGCTGTATGTAATTACAGTTGTGCAAATGCTTCATTACCTGCCTAATGAATTTGGCATATATGCACATGTAAACCACTGTTTTTGTTAACATAATGAAGGACATTTTCATTTTTTTATTTATTTAATTTTCGCAAAACCACTAGTGTGGAACTGGATCAATTATTTATTTATTTAATTTTTGCAAAACCACTAGTGTGGAACTGGATCAACCTATGTTATGAAGTTCAACCAGCCACTGTGAAAAGCCTTTGATCTCTGTGATTTATGTTCCCAACAACAGATGTACATTTGATTTATTTCATTAAAGCCTTCAAAAAAATTTATTCTGTTCCCTCTTGTTCACTTCTAAAAGCAAAGAGCAGCAGAACCACCACCCTGCCCAAAGTTGTTTGACTTCATACCCTAATTCTTACTTTAGTGTTCGCCTCTAAATAGTTGTAGAGGACATTGACACAGATGGTGAGATCTCCCATGTTGAAAGGATATCTTCGATTCCATCCTTGAGGTCCAAACTTGCGTCTTCCAGCAACACAGGTGTGAAAGTAGCAGAGGGAAAAGAAGATACTTTTGAACTCCTGTTCCCTGGTACATAATTCAAGTGTATCCTATTAAACAAAGAAATATGAACAAAATTTGTACCAAATCACCAAGAGACTGCATCTGTGCTTTTCTTATGATAATTGCTTCTCTCATATGTCAACAGGTAAGCTAGAAGAGGTAGAATCTATTAGTATATTCAGTTCTGCAGATACTGCTTAAATGAAATGTAATGCGATTGTTACCAATGCAAGGGAATTCTCTGGGCATAATGGCAGATACTTCTATGCTACTTCTTGGACATAGACCATATACTGCATTACACCGGACTAGTAGTGTAACAATAAAACTGCAAGTAATTCAAGGCAACATGTTGGTATTCTTGAAGATATCATACATATGAGAAAATGCATGTACATCGGACATGCCTAACATATGATCCACTAAGCTAAAGGCAGCCTACCAGCAGGCTTGATAAGCCTGTTTTTATGCTAGTTAATTACTGTAAAAATGGGAATTGTCAAGCATCTGGAAGACCCCAATAAATGGCTCATGTGGTGCTTTTGGGATACTACACCACAAGTTGTGAAGGCCTGATGTGCATTACAGGTCTGCTGCACACATCAGTTGCCCAATCAATACACTTCTGGCAAAATAGAAAAACAGGTTGCTTACCTGTAACTGATGATCTTTGAGTGGTCATCCGTGCACTCACATCTCTGAGATATAGTGTGCCTGTGCCGACCTCTATCAGTAAACTTGAAAGCTAAAGGGATTTTTGCGCCTGCTCTCGAGTCACGTGCAAGAGCTCCAGTGCACATGACTACAGGGAGGGGCACGACGATCCTGCCAGTTCCTTCTGACCGCTGCCATCAGTTTCAGAGCCAAACAAGGGACTGACAGCAGTGGGGGAGGAGGGCGGGTGGTGTGAATGCACAGATGACCACTCAAAGATCATCAGTTACAGATAAGCAACCTTTTTATCTTTGTGGTCTCTGTGCATCACACCTCTGGGAGATTAACAAGCAGAGTGCCTACCTGAAGGAGAGTGCTGGAAGGTCCTCAGACACACACTGACTGAAACACAGACCATCCCACCGAAGTCTGCTGACGGAGACGCACATCTAGGGCATAATGCTTCACAAACGTGTGAGGGGTGGCCCAGGTTGCTGCATTGCAAATGTCACGAAGCGGTGTGCACTTCAGGAAGGCTGTAGACGTGGCTAAGGCCTGGGTGGAATGAGCATGGAGCGGCCCCGGGAGTGGTTTCCTAGCCAACAGGTAGCAAAGTTTAATGGTCTCCACAATCCACTTGGACCGTTTCTGTGAAGAGAGTTTGCGCCTGAGCGAAGGTGTGGCATAGGGGATAAAGAGGACCGGAGTCTTACAAAAAGCCCTCGTCTTGTCCAGGTAAAAGAGCAGGGCCCTTTTTACGTCCAGGGTGTGGAGATGACTCTCAGTATCATCCCTTGGAGCTGGGGGGGAAACTGGGAGAACAATGTTCACCTGAAAATGAAACCCCAAGACCACTTTGGGTAGAAAAGAAATATCAGGAGCTAGGGAGACACCATCCTGATGAAAGGCCAGATAGAGAGGGTCACAGCAAAGAGCTGACAGCTCGCTTAGTCTTCTAGCAGAAGTAATGGAGACCAGAAAAGCCGTCTTCCAGGAGAGAAGCTGCAAGCTGCATCGGCCAAAAGCAGTGGCAGATCCCGGGCTGGCGTGAGGTAACGAAGTGGAGGAGAAAGACGGATGAGCCCTCTGAGAAATTTCTTGGTAAGCGGGTGAGTAATCACTGAGTAACCCTCAATTGGAGGATGGTGTGCCGAAATGGCTACCAGATACATATGAACTGAAGCATGGTTGAGACCCAAGTCCAGACCAGAGTTCCCTCTAAGCTGAGTAACTGTGAGCTAGATCACAGTTTTTTAGCTTCTGGCTCACACATTTTTGTCTTAGCTCAGGAAGAACAGCTCCAGAGCAAACTAATTTATGCAATAGCCAAATCACTCGCTCACAACTTTAATGCCACTAACTCACAAAGTAGAATTTTTTGCTCACAAGACTCCACAGCTTAGAGGGAGCATTGGTCTAGACGAGACAGTAGGAAACCAAAAATGGAAAACAAGTCTGAAGGAGGTGGGGGTAGCCCAACAGAAGTAAGATAACTCAAAAATTTATTCCACTTGCCATTATAGGATTTACGGGTGGAAGGTTTCCAACAATTCAACAAAACAGGGTCTATCCTCTTCTTGAGTGTTGTCACTGAATTCTCCATGCTGTGAGTTTCAGACGTGGTACATTGTGATAAAGCACCAGACCCCTTTGGGCGAGGAGAAGATCCGGTGCTGCCAGGAAATGGTGAAAGGAAGCCCTTGGAAAGCTGGAGCAGAGTGGGGAACCAGTGCTGTCGAGGCCATCATGGAGATATGAGGATACACCTCAGAGCCTCGCGTATGATCTTGTGAATCACTCTGGTAAGTAAGGGAATTGGAGGGAACATGAACAAGTGCTGGTTGAACCATGGGTAAAGGAGACCGCCCCCTAGAGAGGGGTGATCCACTCCCGTCCTTGAGAAGAACAGACAGCATTTTCTGTTTTGTCTTGTTGTGAAGGCATCTACCACCGGGTGGCCCCATATATCAAACACTGGCTGGAGGTATTTCCAGTTGAGTTCCCATTCATGTAGGGATGCTCCCCCCCCCTGCTCAAAATGTCTGCAGTCATGTTTTGAGAGCTGGGAAGATGAGCTGCGACCAGGAAGATCTTCCTGGACTGACGCTTGTCCCAAATCTCCAGAGCCACTCTACATAGGCTTCTTGAGACTGTGCCACCTTGACAATTTATGTAACACAAAGCCGTGGTGTTGTCTGTCAGGACAGTGACTGTATGGTGGGACACCATGTGGCAAAACGACTGGAGGGCATACTTCATAGCCAGAAGCTCCAGGAAGTTGATGTGTTTGTGTGATAGGTGAGTCTCCCAGTTGGAGCCCACAGACAAGCTGTTGAGATATGTGCTCCAGCCCCATAGAGATGCATCCGTCATCATGGTCACGGACGGGGCTGTCAATCCTCCCACCATTCTAGGGAGGCCAGTATGTGTGTGTGGGAGGTGAAACATTGAGACTGGGGTTGATGCTGGGGGTGGAATTGTTTCAGGAACCACAGCTGTAGCGGTCTCATGTGGAGTCGGGCAAACACAATCACCGCAGTTGTGGTGGCCATCATTCCTAAAAGACATTGGAGCTGTCTTCCTGATGCATTGCCCTGCAAATGCAACTGTTGAATCAGACAAATAATGTCTTCTGCCCTCTTGGGGGGAAGGAAAGCCTTGCAAACCTGGGAGTCTAGAATCACCCCTATGAACTGGACCCTCATGGAGGGATGAAGCATCGACTTCTTGTGGTTTATACACAGGCCCAGAGAGTTCAACAATGCCAGGGTCGAATCTATGTGCTGTAGGAGAGCCATTTCGGAATCTTCCACCAGCATTCGATCGTCTATATATGGGAAAATCTGTATCCCTTGCAGGTGCAGGTGGGCAGCAATGACCACCATCATTTACGTAAATATCTGGGGGCCTGTGGACAGTCCAAAGGGAAGGGCTTTGTACTGGTAATAATGGTCCCCTACTGTGAACTGTGAACTTAACCACTGTGAGCTGCGGTGGCTCAAGTGGTTAAGACGCTGAACTGCAGGCTGTGGAAGGTCAGTAGTTCAGCAGTTCGAGACCCAGGTGCCGCAAGATGGAGTGAGCTCCCATCTCTAGTTCCAGCTCCTGCCAACCTAGCAGTTCGAAAGCAAGAAATTGCAAGTAGATAAATAGGTACCACTTCGGTGGGAAGGTAACAGCGTACCGTGCGCCTTGGTGTTTAGTCATGCCGGCCACATGACCACGGAAACGTCTTCAGACAGCACTGGCTCTTCGGCTTTGAAACGGAGATGAGCACCGCAACCCTAGAGTCGGATTCGACTGGCTTTCGAGCAAGGGAACCTTTACCTTTACCTTTTACTGTGAACCTCAGTAACTGTCTATGACTGTGATGAATCGTGATGTGGAAATAGGCATCTTGTGGGTCCAGGGTTGGAGAGGACCAATGTTCCCTCTAAGCTGTGGAGTTCTGTGAGCAAAAATTCTACTTTGTGAGCTACTGGCATTAGTTGTGAGCAGGTGATTTGGCTGCTGCATCAATTAGTTTGCTCTGGAGCCATTCTTCCTGAGCTAAGGCAAAAATGTGTGAGCCGGAGGCTAAAAAATTGTGAGCTAGCTCACACTAACTCAGCTTAGAGGGAACACTGGAGAGGACCCACCTGTCTGACGTTATTTGCCTCCAGGCCGAAAGGTAAGGATGGAGGTGAGTGGGTCATAGTGGTACAAGCAGAAGTTTTCAGTCAAAGGCCCTCTTTGGGGCCTTTGGGAGTCTTGGGTCTGGATTGGGTAGTCATAGCAAATCTAGATTTGTTTCCATATGAACGAGAAGGTGTATGTGACCACGATTTGTTCCAGGATTTCGATTTGCTCTGTCTAGAGAACGAAGAGACCCCCAGATTATGGGAAGTCTTAATACTCTTATCCAGGTCCTGGAGAACAGTGTCTGTGATGGAACTGAATAAGCTTTCTCCCTCAAAGGGAAGGTCCTCCATGTATGACCTAGTATCATGCTGCAGAGAAGTGGACAGCAACCAGGCATGGCGACGGAGTGCAATAGCAGAGTTAAGTGTCTTGGCTGCTACATCTAGCAGATGCTCGGCTGAGTTGAGTTGGTATTTGGCTAACAGCATACCTTCTTTCTGGATCTGTCTGGCCTTGTGGTTGAGGTCTTCAGGTAGGGATGCAGTAGACTCAGACAATTGCTCCCAAAGGGCATATTGGTACCTGCCCATGCAGGCAGCGTAATTTGAGGTTTTAATGCCCAGTGCACCAGTCGAATAAAATTTTCTCCCGAAGGAATCCAACTTTTTTCCTTCTTTATCAGGAGGTACGGAGTGAATGCACCTGCCTTTTGAAGACGAGTTCACCGCCACAAAGTTCAGTTTCAGATGTGTGAACAGGAACTCAACAGCTGTTTCCTGGACCTTATACATACGGTTGATTCTGTGGCTAGAAATGGGAGTGGAGGCTGGGTGAGGCCAAGGAGCCTTTCACGGCCTGCAGCAGTACTGAGGTCATGGGAAGGGCAACAGCTGTTGAGGAGTCTATCTGGATAATATTGAAAACTGTATCGGTAACCGCGGGAGAAGGCTGTACTGTAGACAGAGTCAGGATATTGGCCATTCTCTTGATAAACTCTCAATAGAACTTTAGGACTTCTGATGGAGAAACTGGGAGGTCCTCTGATACCTTCTGTGGTGGGGAAGGATTTTTTGGATGTTCTGTACTGTTATCACCTGATTCTTGTGAGGCATTGGACGAGTCAGACTGGTCCAATGGATCCAAGTACTGGACTGGGATTTTCGGTGCCGAAAGTGTCGGCACCACTGGGATTGCTTTCTGCTTTGTCACAAATGTATTTTTAAGACGCTTTCCCATCAGTATCGAAGGCTGTGGCAATGGTTTCTCCGGTGTTGGTTCCTGATACCGAGTGAGGCGGGAGGACATGGATTGTCAATCCCATTCTGTCGGCATGTGAGGTGGGAGCCAAGGCATGCTGGTCGACAGGGGGTAAGCTCCATACGGGAATTGCCATTGGTGTTGGTCCCATGGGGCTGGAGGTGGGGGAAGCAGTCCCAAAGATTGACCCCGATCATCAACAGATGAGCAGCAAGGGGAGGGATGTGCAGAGTTGTGGTCTTCCCGACCGGAGTCGAGACCCTCGACACTGGAGGATTGGGATTGCTGAGTTAAGTCTGTGTCCTGTTCAGAGTCCATGAGCTGTATCGGATGCAGCATGGGTGAGGACTAGTGAGGACCACGGACTGGTGAATCAAGCAATTTAGACGCAAGCACAGACGATGGTTCTGGTTCTCGCAGAGGTGTTGATGGAACCTTAAGTGGGGAACCCTTGGTTTGGTTGAATCTCTCTTGTGCTTCTTCTGGTTGAAAGGTTTAAGGTCCTTACCCTCTCTGCGTTTCTTAGCAGGGATGTGGGTTTCGAACTTGGATGCTGGGACCGAGCATTTGAGCACCAGTCAATCAACATCAGTAGGAGCCAGTGTCAGAGACACTGCAGCAGTTGTGGGGTCGACATCGATGCATGGCCCGACGTAACCTGAGGCGATGCCATCAGAGGAGAGAGTGCTGACTCCAGCAGGGCAGTATGAAGCCTTGCAGCTCTGTTCTTCCTCGTTTGTTTCGAGAACAAGAGCCAATGGGGTGAGTTTCCCCGAGGCACAAAAGACAGAGGGAGTGTCTGTCAGGGGGTGCGATCTTACTGTTGCACTGCAAACACTGTTTAAAGAAACCCCACTGTTTGGCCATAGGAGCCAAGTAGGCCCAAGAAGAAAGAGATCCTAACACCATGACGGTCCGAAGGAAACTGGCGGGATCGTTGTGCCCCTCCCTGTAGTCATGCGCACTGGAGCCTTTGCACATGACTTGGGAGTGGGTGAGAAAATCCCTTTAGCTTTCAAGTTTACCGATTGGGGTCAGTGCAGGCACACTACATTCCAGAGGTGTGATGCACAGAGACCACAGAGAAGATCCATCAGTTTACTACAAAGCTGCCCATCTGGTTTCTACCAGACTATACTGGGGAAAAACGAATGTGGATAACAGTAACTGTTTTTTGAGACTTTTTGGTGGAAGGAATTTAAATGCATATTTGTCTCATCAGTTTGCACCTCTGAGAGTCAGTTGCATGGTAAAGACAACCATATCTCTCTATCAGTAGAATGGTTTACTACATGGCAACTATTTTATTTCCTGCTGGTGCATGATCCTAGTCCATGGTACATGTGTGCATGGGGGAGAGGGTCATGAACATCAAACCACAATGCACTCTTCTGGTTAACTGCAGGAATATACATTGCAAGATAAGACCTCCTGTGACACCTGGGAACTGATTTTGCTGAACTGAAAACCTACAGATGTCACGTTCAGTACTCAATGGCCAGGGCAAGGTAAATCCTTTCCCCAGAAAACAATCAATGCACAACTTATCCTAACCTGGTCAAAATTGTACAGAGCAGCATGAAGGTTTGTTAGCATTCCAGTTGGAGGTTCATTAATAATTTTAATGGAGTTTTCTAATATTCCTTGAGGTATGACATGTTCTTCGGGAGTTGGAGCTGGTTCAGCACTAATAAAGACACGGAAGCCTGGGTGACTGTGTTTGCCGTATTCCTCCAGCAGTTTTTCTAAAGTCCCCAACCATTTGACTACAAGGTGTATATTCTGTATGAGAGAATGAGACACTTTCATTGTAAGAACAAGAACAAAGTTTGAGTCCAGTACAAGTTTATCATTTTAAAAGGATAAGGCCTAATTACGCTGTTTTCATTTCATTATTGCACAGTTGAATAACAATGAACTGGCAACACTCCAAGTATCATTTAATTCTAAAATAATTTCAAGAATAGGGAGGAGTGTAAGAAAGTTTCTGTTTCAGTAGCTTTTACATTAACAAGGACTACATTATCTGTAGGTGGTGTTAGGAAACTGGGTTTTACAAAGCATTTGAATATATAAATTATGCCTTCTGCACCCAATAACTGGCTGTCTCCTGAGCTCGGAGACTGTTCAGTAGAATTTTATGTTAATTATAGTCCACCTTTCTCCCAGGGACTCAAGACTGGTTATATAACGTATTACAAGGAGAAATCTAATAAACAAGGTAATAGGACTAGGACTGCAGAAATCTGAAACAAGGCATATTAAAACATGCAATATTAAACAATGCAATAAATAATATTACTTAAGTAGAAATATAATGCAAATTATTTGAAATATCAACACATAGGGCTGAAATATTTTCTCCCTCCAAAGAATACATGACATGTGCAGGATATTCAGAGATGACGGACACTGCACATATGGCACAATAACAGCCCCACTTTAACTCCAGTCTCAGAGATACATTTGGTGAAACATCATCTCCCATTCCTGAAGCAGCCATTTTGGAGGAGTGAGGACTTAGCAGCAGCCAATTAAGACAGGCAGCATTATGTTTTGTGGTTTTTCATAACTGTTAAGATAAACAGAAAGTTACAAGTGCCAGAAACACTCCACACACCTCCATAAACCTCTTCTCTCAGAATTGCACAGAGCGTATGTTGATCATTTATGTTACTAACATATTTCATTGGTTAAGCATGCATGGCATCAGCCACTGACTGAGCACATAAAGAACATCAATCACACCATTTTGCACTTACTTGGAGAATAACCCAGTGCCCGTACTTGGCAGCTTTCTTTAATGCCTCCTCTGCAACAATCTCTTGTCCTTGTCCTAAAGAGATATTGTGAAATTTTCCAGAGTCGATGGTGAGGCCAAGTTTTTTGCCTGCAAGTGAAGTAATGGGGGTGGGAAGGTAAACAAAAGGGTGCATGTGGAGGGGGGGGAGATAATGCCCCATTAATTTCACTATCACTGGGACAATGCACATTCGTTTTCTGAAGCACTTCACTCAACACTATTTCAACAAGCAAAATTGCGAGCTCTCAACAGCAGTCTTACTGCTGGTATTAGGGGGAAAAAGGCATACAGAAATCTGCTCCCTTGGTTTTAAGATAATGAACCTTTTGACATTTTGATAGATGCTAGGTATTGTTACTGAGCTTTATAAACTCATACAGGGGGTGCAAACCATTTCCCTTGTGGAAAAAAGGGAGCAACATGTGGTAGCTATCACATCAGTTTTTTAACTGATTGGTTCAGTGGGTAAATGCACAGGCTTCTCACCTTGTGAGGCCTGAGTTTAAATTGAGCACAGTCAGGTCACAGCTGTATTAACCTGGTATTCTCAGCAGAGTCGGTGGGGAATAGTAATCCTAAGTACAAAGCGACAGTTTCTTACACAATTGAATATAGTTTGTATAATGACCATTATTTAGTCACAGGGGGCACAAGATTACATGAGCATGGAGAAAATTGCCCTCTGGCCCTCATCTAGTCAAAAGGTAAGAAACAGCACAAAAGAGCCTGCATTATGCCAAGCAGAGGAATGTTCAATCTAAAAATTTCTTCATGCTGTAGTGCTAATAGCCTCACACTTTTTATCCATCCTTCCATAGTGAATGAAGGGTTAGGGCAGAGGGGAAGAAATCTTTAAAACTTAACTCTTGTTGAGGAAAACAATTCCAAATTTAAATCTGCTTTATTCTTTATAATGAGTATTTGTGGGACTTTTGTGAGCTTAACATGTAATTAATTAAAGACCAACTCTCACTCTGTCTAAGTCAAAGCACAAACCCCCATTGTTACCAATCACAGCCTATGCAGTAAGAAAAGGTCTCTGGACGCTGCAAATCAGCAACAGAAAGAAAAAACCATCAGAGAGACTTCCTGCTCCTACAGCCATTTTAGAATTCCTGCCAAAAAGCCTGTAAATGTAAAATGCCCTCCCAATCAAACCAACTCCCATTCTCCTTTCCAACACTGCACCAATACAGATGACCCCCCCAGCTTTATCCATTCAACATTAATGTGTCTCACATGTTCTTCATCAACTCATGCGAGTCTGCACCAAGCATTCCACAAAAGGAGACAAGGACGTGTATTTGGACAGAACTGCATACATTACTGATTTGCACCTCTTCTATTTGCATAGTACATTCTGTTTACAGAATGTGGGTTTCAATTTTTTTCAATCAGAATTTGGAATGTTGAATATTCGCAGGCCTGAATTTTCAAACAAACCTGGTAATTCTTAATGATTGAAACAGGCTCACCAAGTGTCTCCAAGTCTTTAAGAGGGTCAACTCCAGGAGAGAGAATGAAAAATACTGCAGTGGCTGGACTGCTTTCTTCATAGGATTTAGCCATGTCTATTCTAGTTCCAGCTACATATTTAGGGCCTAGTTTTTCTTCCACAAAATTCCTACAGAAATGTACAAAGAAACAGGAGAATTAGAGCTTAGCTCATATACAGTTCTTGCCCTTTGGTAAGAGCTATTTGTTTAATTAACTGGGGGTATCAGCAGAGCAATCTCTTTAAATGGAAGTGAGTAGAGTGCTAACATGAATGTTCAAGTGCGTGTACAGTAGAGATGGCAGGAGTCAGTATATCAGCAGAGCAGTCTCTTTAAATGGAAGTGAGTAGAATGCTAACATGAATGTTCAAGTGTGTGTACAGTAGAGATGGCAGGAGTCAGTACACATCTGTGTGTAAGTCTCTATGTGTATACAACCTAGTCTGTATGCAACTATGTACTGTGGCTGCGAAACAGAAATAAGGCTGGGGGAGTGGGTTAGGTTGGTGTTTAGCCTCATTGTGTCATCTGTTTTTTTCAGGGTCCATGTATCATTTTTTGGAATCTCCTAAAATATCCTTTCCGCTGGGTTCCACCATTCCACAGGAATAAAAAGTGGAACTAAAGTTCTGGGCAATGGCTTGAAAACCAAACATCTCCACTGATCAGTTTGGTATTTTAGTATTATCAGAAGTCACTAATCTAACATCCAGTCTGCACAAACAAGATAGGTACCTGTATCACCACTTTAAACCAAAACTGTACAAAAGCTACTTGTGACATCCTTGCTTATAGGGGAGACAGTTTTACCTTTAAATCACCCTCTGTGTACATAAACTTGGTAGATTTATGCTGCCACCAGGAATTAAAAATTCCAAATCTCTCTCTTTTGGTAGAATGACCCAGGGTCTGGGCACTTCAGAGGACTATGTGGCCTTGAGGAAGGTCTATTCTGATTTCTGGGATAAGTTTAAACAAAAATTGATTTATTTAATAAAGAATAAAATAGGTTTCTGGTTATTTTGAACTGTTGTTGATGAAAGAAACTTGTAAATATAACTGGCAAACCTTGGTGTCACAAACAGTCTCTCAGACTTCTAAAACTTATTCACACAGAATTGACTCAAAAACTCCCATAGTCCCACAAACTATGCTCTCTTCAAACTTCACACACAGAATCACTGCATAGACACCTCTCCTCCCACTCTCTGTCATCAGCCAATCACATCACACTTCTCTTCAAACTTCACACACAGAATCACCGCATAGACACCTCTCCTCCCACTCTCAGTCTTCAGCCAATCACATCACACTTGTCTCCTTCTATCACTCTTCTTACAGTACTGCCGTCAAACTAAACATTTAAAGAAACACACACCCCAAAACATTAAATCATTACACTGCTCCCATGTAATGGTCCTTCTATATGGTACATTTTTATGTGGTTTCCCTATAACAGAACAAACTAAAAAAAAAGTGATGATCAAACCACTTCTGTAGTTTGCTCTATTATGGGGCAAGCCACATATAGATGTACCACATAGAAGAACCATTACATGGGAACAGCTTTCATACAGTTTTAATTTAATGATACAGGTACCCACCTTGTGGCAACCAGCTAAAAATGAGCTAAATATGAATGACTATATTGTGACACAGGCTCCATGCATTTGGATTTAAAGCATTTCTGGTATAGCTATATGCTCATATAAATCTAGCCCAGTTTATATGCCAACTGACTCACCATGGGGAGACTCATCATAGGAGGGAGCACTGAGCTAATCAGTAGAGCATCTGCTTCACGTGCTTTTAATGTCCTAAATCCAATCCCTGGCATCTCCAGTTAAACCTTGAAACAACAGGTGTTGGGAAAGACCTTTGTCTGCCTAAGCCCCTGCAAGTCACAGTAGACAAAACTAGGCTAGATGAACCAATAGTCTGACTCAGTAGAGGGCAGCTACATCTATTCTTTGGTGTCACACGTTTCATATTATTTTGTTTTTATGGTATACCACTTCAAATTACATTCGACAGAGAATGCAGATTGCTTGAAATAAAGAGATGAAGGACTAACAGGTATGAACGTGGACAGCCTGTGTAGTATTATAATTAAAGTGGGCAGACTAGGATCAGGGAGCCTTGGGTTCAGATCTCCATTCCGCCATGAAGCTTGCTGGGTAACTTTGAGCCAGTCATTCCTCTCTCAACCTCACCTATCTCACAGAGCTGTAATGAAGATAAAACGGCAGATGGAGTGCTGTCTATGCTGCCCTGACCTCCTTAAAGGAAATGTGGGATAAAAATGCGCTATCTAATTACAAACAATTTCAAACGGTATACCTGAGGGCGTAGGTCATCCGATCTGGGCGTAAAGCTCTTAGTATAATTAGCTTCTGAAAAGAACTTTTGCTTTTCCACTCCTGAGGAAGCTTCTCCTTTTCTGGGCATTCTGCATCAACCCATTTTTTCCATCTCTTAGCAGAACCTTCTATATCTCTATCTAATCCTCGGAATTCATCCATTAGGGCAATGGCCTGTAATATTTCAGCAACACACATTAGTTACTGGCATGTAGGCCTGATCTGTGCCTGAAGAGGTTATAATGAGGTGGCCAAGTGCAAAAGTGGTACCCAGTCCTGTACCCCTGCACTGAAGAATGATGTTTTTTCAAGGTCTTCCTAGGGTAATGATTCCCTGTAAGTGGAAAATGAACTCAGTATGCAAAGAGGTAAGCAGCAGCCTTTCTCCCTGATGTTCTGATTTGTATTTGTTTTGTTTTGAATTTGCAATTTACATCTGAATCCTTTGTTCTGTGACTCATGAACTTTGAATTTCCCCTATTTGCACAATTTATTTATATGAATTTTCAAGATTTGTATTAAGATTATTTTGTATGTTTGTTATTGCTGATTATGCAAATAATCTGTAAACATTATATTTAGTGTATTTGAGTAGTTTTGGAGGTTTAATTATGTGGAGGATTTTTCCTTTTTTTGTATTCACTTCATCCGTGTATGTGCAAGACAGGCAAAGGCTATTTGTGTTAGGAGACAAATAAATTGTGATAGTATCAGTTGCTTTTCTAATCACCTACATTATACAAGGTAGCAAATTGTTTAGGATTCTGTTAAGTCTCAGAACCACCCATTCTGACTGATTTACCAACAACAGTCAAGTTTCTATATACCGGGGATCCAGTGTGGAGATGAATTTGTGCTTCAGTGAGCCTAGAGAGGTCTCAAGGAGAATTAACAAAAGGATATACTGCACTCCCACCACCAAAATGTTTACAATTGATGCAAGAGCACAAATTCCTTATGACAGTTGTCATTTGATAACAACAATGCAACGGAATTTACCACATAATCATTATTCACACAATGTGAGGCATATGAGCATACATTATGGGAGACAGAAATTTCTTTGGTCAATTCTTTCTAGACTAGATATTTTCATTTGGTTACCTTTCACCTTTTTTTGAAAAAATCAGGATTATTTGCACTTTTGAAAATTAGGGGGGAAAGTGCATTAAAGAAAGCAAAAGAGCAAAAAAGCAATGCAAAAGAGGTAGTTGCCAGTAAGTTAAATCTGTTCAGATATATGGGCTACTGCTGCTTTCATTATCTAGAAACATGATAAAATATCTGAAAAAGAGTTTCTGGACTTAACCCGAATGGCACTCCATGACTGAGTAGTTGCAAAGTCCACAGGGCTTTTATAAGTGTGTTCAACTGTGAATCGCAGCAAGAAGTTCAATTCAGTGAGTTCTATCTCTTTATTTCTCAGCAGAATCTAGAAAGTGAACAAAATGTGGAGAGGCTATTCATTCAATCTGATCCCCTATTACTGAAAGCATACATATTTTTATTACAAATATTTCTCACTCTGCGGCCCTAGTCAGACATTATTTATATAGCAAAAACCAAACTCAGGTCCACCATACCCTTGCCCTGCAGTCCTAATATAGAAATGAACATCTGACTGGCTAGAATACTTGGTTTATGTATACCTGAGAGCTCCCTGAATCTGTTATCCCAGTTCCCCTCTTTCAGTAGTCCAGAGTATAGCCTGGCTTTACGCTGTCCTATCCCAGCATCACCTGTATTCTTCTTTACCAGCCCTACTGTGCCCAGACCAGCACAGCTGGATAGAGAAGGCTGTGACCAGCAAGGATGAGTATAGTGGTGCCTCCTTTCTCCACAGCTGGATCTTTGGCCTTCCTTGAGGTGAGACGAGTGGTGGGGCAGGAGTGGCATGGCAGTTTTCCAGGGCTGTTTTGGTCTACTGGTCTGACCCTGTGCTACCCTAAATGTTTTCCAAGCACATCCTTACCCAGCCACCCTGAGCCCATTCTCGGGGTAGGGTAGGGTATAAATAAATTAATTAAATAAATAAAATTTAAAAGCTCCACACATTTTGCTTGGTCTAGCCTTGGCCATGTTTAGTTTTTCACAGTCCCTGGTCTGATAAGGAAGGAAATCCCCTTGGAAATTCTCTTCAGCTGGAACTGGGGCCTGAAAGGATTAGTGATCAGGACTTTAGCAGTCAAGTCTGTCCCCAGTTTATCATGCACAGTTGTGTCTTGTCCCTGGCACTTGCAATGCAATTTAAATGTGCTTGTGCTGTACCAACAAGTTTGTTTCCAGTCTGAAATGCTACAAAAAATAATCAAAGTATTAGTGACATTTTCTTACCTGAAAGGTTGTCTGGATTAGAAAGATCAGCTTGTCTTTTTCAAAGAGTCCCTGGCCTACATAGAGGAAAGTGAAATATGTAATAGCTTCTGTCAGGTTGGAGATACGCTCCTGGATATCCTCTGATGCCTCTGCTTGCTCAATTGCTTTATGAAAAACAGTGTTGAAAGCCTAAAAGGACATAGAATCAATTTATCTCACTTGTCAGAATTTCCTCTGGTAAGAAAATGTTACTGGCAGCTGGTTCTAGGCTTCTAGAGCAAGGGCCCAACAACCTAAAATCTCTAAAAACAACACTGACAATGTATTATCATTTCTTGGGGAAAATGGTAGCCATTGCCCTGAAGTATCTGCCATAATCTGCACACTGGTCTGCTCCAGCTGGAGTTTAATGGTACATGGAGATTACTCATTACATTCTGTACTACTATACAGCAAGTGAGAAACTGTACAAACTTGCTTCTTTAAATATGTGCAGAGCTATACCATACAAGAACATGATGTGCAAAATAACAGTGTTTATATATTTTGCTAATTGCTGCATTCCATTCCCATAGTGTTTTATGCACTCCAGGCTCGACAATAACAGACAAAGACCATTATTAATAATGCAACCTCATTATTTAGTTGCACACCTACATACAGGAGCTCAGAGGACTGCTAACGTGTTGTCCCTTCCTAAACTGCTTTTTAATGCTACTTTTCCCTTGAAGGTTGGAGACCAACAACTGCTTTTAAGAAGGCAGTATGATAATGCCATTGTTGTTGTCCATGGTGCACATATTCATTTGCTTCCCCCCTGCTATTCTCTGATCAAACAAATTTTGCAAGTTTCAAAACAATGACCCAAACCTAGTAAAACCTGTTTGACTAGACACAAGGGGTGCATGGGGAGCAAAACAATGCTCTTACCATTAGCAGCAACAGCTCCATCACACTACTTATAGCTTTCTACAAAAACAAATCTGTCTCCAGCCTTGGTCTCATGAAGCAAATGGCACTGTGCTTCACTTTTTAGTAGCAGAATTTTAAAAAAATTACCTTCAATGAAAACTGATATAATGGGTTGATTTTGTTCAGATCATGAATTACAAAGTAAAGAAGAGATGCTCTTGCAGCTGCTGGCCGGTAGTGCTCTCTGGCTTCATCGATATTAACTTCATTTTCTTTGGCTTCTTTTACCTGTACGATAAAACATTTGAAAATAAAGCAAGGAAGCCACCATTATTATATCAGAAACAGCTGACAGTTCAGTTCTCAAAGTGGCCCACTGGCATTCTCTGCAAAGGAGCTTGAGGCAGGAGAACACTTAAATCTACATCTATTTGTGGCACATTTGAACTGACACCCTCCCATCCACATTTTTAAAAACTGGCATTTGTGAGAAACACGTAACAGTGATTTAAGGTGAAACGAACTGTTCTGATGAAGAGGGAAAACAGGTTTTCCAGTGACTGCAAGTCTGCGGGGTCAAGACTGAAGTAGCCTCCCCGTCTGAGCTCCTAAAAACGTCAAAACAAGATTAATAGAGGACTCTAAAGCTAACAGTCGTTCATTGAGAGGAATGGGGCAGCCAAAAGGAGCAAAAGGAGGTAACCCCCCCCCCCAGAACCTCAACAAACAGAGAGACAAACAGAGAGAATAATGCAATCTTCGGAAGAAGAGTCTTTTCCCCTGTTGGAAGCAGATACAGACAAAGAAGCAACAACCCGAATGGGCAAAAACACACACGTGAGGACTCAATAACAAAAAAACCCCATCCAAGCTATGTTTACAGAGATGAAAAGAGAACTAACGGAAATTATCACCCCAATTCATCAAAAGCTTGATGCCATGAATCAGAATATAACTGACTTGAAAGAGAAAACAGATAAGGCACTTACTGAAGCAGCTAACAATACGAAAGCAATAGAAGAATTAAAGACTTTTGAATCATGGAGCAAAAGCAAAAATTATACTCTTGGACATTAAAGCCCGTGAAAGGAAAATCAAATTTAGGGAATTTCCCCAAACTTTGCAGTGGATAAAGACCTCACGGTCTCTTTAAATGAATGGCTTCAAACTTTGCTGCAGCTTCCGGCTCCACTGATTAGTCAAGCTTATAGTTTGAATCCATTGCAAGCTGAATCACCAGCTTTGATCCCTGATATAATGGCTGAACTGACGTCAAAGCAAAGAAGATTGTGCTGGAAGCCGCTAAGAAGAGTAATGGGCTTCAACTGGAAGATACACAAGTTCAAGTATATCAAGACCTACCGTATGAGATCTTAACAGCTTGACGGAACTTGACAGTGATGCTCTGTCTTCTTGGTGCTTGGGGGGGGGGTCAACA